CGAGAATCACTTAAAAAAAAAAAAAAAAAAAAGAATATGGGGTGATGCAGCCCCAAGACAGGGTTGTTTATGTTCCGTGGTGAACTGAAGCTATGGAGGTGTTGATGGAGAGAAGGTCGTGAGAGCCTAGAGACATTGTTTTGCAAATACATAGCTTAATTTTGAAAAATTATACAAAATGGAAATAGAAGGTGTAGAAAACTGTTTTAATTAAATAATTCATAAGATATAATTCATTATATAAAAATTCTTCTCATATACAAAATAATATACACATATAAGTAGAAAACATGCTGAAACACTAGCATCCATACACTACATCACACAAACTGATCATTCACCCCTGTAGCATAAGAAGGACTGAAATATTCAATGGTTAAGTGCAAAAAAAAAAAAAAAAAAAACCCTTTGCTGAGTGACATAATCTCCCCAGTAAAGCATTTCTTTGCAGTGCTTGTCAGGTACAGGTTTCCACATGTTCTTTGCCTTGGCAGTTCATCACATTTGCTCTCACAGGTTGTTGAAAACCCAGTGTAGCCGTGGTTACAGTTATCCTGCATAACTGCCCCTTCTCACACACGAGGGCTTCCAATGACCCTGTATAAGGATGACAGAACCGTAACCAAGAACACTGATTTTCTGCAAATTGTTTTCTCCTGTCTTTCTAGACAGAGAATGCTCCATGATTTTCCCCATTTAGGGAAAAACAAGGAGTTTTTGGCAATGAATACTGACGTTGGTGCAGAAGAGAGAATGCAGAGAATGGGTCTGTTTATCTCCACTGCGGAGCATGAGTCATTCTTCTACCACAGCTTTCTCCACCAGTTTTTGTGCTTGCAGTTATAAAGCAGTGACTGGCTTTAATTATCAATAGGGAAGCACAGAAAGACAATACACAATTTGCCTCCCTCAGAAGTGATTCAAAGAAAAGAGACTAGGAAAAAAATATGCTTAACTATTAGACAAGGCATGAAATGCAGTAGTTCAAATGCTTCCCTGCACCCTCCTTTCACTACAGTTTTCATGTATATGTATTTTGGCTTGATGCGTAACAGCAAGTGTTTTATGCATAAGATATAATTATGAAACAGAAAAGAACCAATTAGCATGTCTTCAGTTTTAATTGAGGTCTCCAGTAAACCTTTTTTTAGTTTGTATGATACACAGAGACCTTACATTGCCCCACACCAATTAGTAACAGATGAGATTATAATTAAAATGATGAGATTTTAAACTAGAATTAGAGAAAATGTGCACTTTTACTTTGGCTTTGTTAAAATGTGAATCTCTCATTTCCTTATAGAAAACATCTGTATTAAAGACACTTCAGAAGAAATACTCTAAAACACAAACGGTATAAATGCTTTTCGATGCTCTGGGTAGGAGCTAAAGTTCTCCTGATAGAACTCGTGACACAAAACAGCAGCCAGTGCCTGGTTAAAAAGAACATACATCACTACACACCACCATGTCATGTTGCGAAATCCAAGTGTGATGGCCATAGATACATATATCAGGAATTCTGCAAAATAATGTGGGCAAGAAATTCTCTCAAACCAGTCTCCAAAAGGTATACTGTGGCTCAGACTAACGACCTTTCCTGCAAGCAAAAAGAAATAAATTAGTTCAGAACAACATGCATTAAACAAACTTTTCTATTCACAATTGCAGAACAACATGCTCATTAAAATTATCACCATCATCCACCTTCATCTGATCTGGCAGCTTTGCACTTCTTAATGAAATAAGATTCCACCTCTGGCTGTTTGTGCAAATATAGAATAAGGAAACCTATTTTTAGCCCACCTGGAGACAGAAGGGAGGTCCCCAAGTTGTGGCACAAGTCCTAGGCATTAGCGTGTGTCTGTCCTTAGGATACCAGAAGCTAGACCTTCATTTTAAGGTCTATAAAGCTATATATACAGACACAGAGACACGCTCTCCTCCCCCCAGCCATCCAAACTGTCTTCCAAGCAACCTCATTTAATCTACTGGAAGCCTTACAGAGAGCACCCCACTACAGGAACTAAAAAATATTTGTGTTGTTTATTTAAAACGAGCAGGAAAAATTTATCTAAGTATAGCATTGGCCAAAATGAAACATCTTACCTGATTTACTTTTTCTAAGATTAGCTAGAATCACAAGACATCTGTGTTGGTGAAGAGAGGCCCAAATATACAGCACAACTCCTATGATGTGATACCAGGAGATCTGCACAGAAAGCTCTTCTCCTGAATGAAGTATGTTTCATTAACATATGTCCAGGAAATACTTTCCCAAGCACCATCCCAAATTATTGTATACATTTAAAAAATGTTACTGTCTTACAAAATTCTGGTAGTGAGACTCTGCTTTTAAATCCTGCATAATTTAAGTGCTCAGCTGGCAGTTCATTTCCCTTAGCCACTCTATACTGAAAATACCTACTTTTTAATCCAGTAGCTTGAGGTACACCATGATGTACAACCAATACATAATTGATAGTTTAAGACCTCAGTATTCAACACTATAATTCTTATCATCCAAACTAAAGATGTCGTCATGGCTCAGGTCAACATAGAAGTACACAGTTGTTTGTCTTGTTCAGCGTGAATGATGTACATGCATACATAACACCTACACACACCCAGTGTGAACCATTTAGGCCTTCAAAAAAATGTTAACTATATTAAGGATGAGTTCCAATGCACAAGCCAATACACTGTCTTTGAGAATTTACAAGACGTGAAAAGTAGAAAACAGGTCCAGAAGAAAAAGGCTTTATCTACACACATAGAAGATCTGAAGGTTCTTTTAAAAAAATCAACGGATTTTTTAAAATCACTAGAGCTGATGTGGTTGGAAATGGTTAAAAACCCCACTAAAGTTACATACTTGGTAATGACCACCTTACAGAAATTAGCCATGGGAGAAGTGCTACAACCAGCTCACAATTCATCAGTGCAGAGGAGCAGCAGCTTGGTTGCGAGACTCAGTGGAATGTGTTGTCAGAAACAGGTCATATAATTCATATTTCTGCTTTAGCAATGGAGACATTACAGTATCGAGGGAATAAAGAGACTGACTGATGCAAGGCAGAGCAGTGGTGAGTTCTCAATGGACAACAAAGGAGGTGGCCAAGACAGCCTTGAAGACTCACCTTACAGGAAAGCTTACAACAAAAAACAAATTCCAGTTTGAAAACTGAAGTTGTGTAGTGACATTTGAGAACTGGTACCTATTACTGCCCTCCATAAAGCAGATGTATCTCAATGCCAAACTGATCAGCAATGATCCTAAAAGCATCTATGTGAGATGTCTTTCAGGAAATAACGATGGCTAACATGAAAGACACTGGTCTATGTGTTTGTGTTTGTGTGTAACGCTGGTTGATTATGTGATATACTGAAATGTAGTTACTTTGAAGTGTGTCAGTAAGTATTTTTATGTCTCGTAAGTTAACACACTTCTCAAATAAGCAGCCCTCTATGAAACCAAGTGAACCATTTGCCACAATGGAAACAAATGGGAGCAAAACTGCATATTTGGTAATAACTAAGCAGGTACTTACCATTCCTGATGTTAGCAGGCACTTGACATAGCACAGTTGAGCCAACAGCAATGTAGTAAGCAAGTCCAAACCCATACTGCACGATATGAATGACACCATTGGAAAACACGCTGGTCCAGAGGCATTCTGCAAGTCTTCGACAGCTATGCAGCCAAAGCAACAGAAGAACCAGGAGGGCAGAGACATGCTCGCTATCTGCTTGCAGATAAAAAATTGCAACTTTGAGATACAAACAATTTAACCCTAACAGTGCTTCAAAAAGTCTGTTTTTCCCCCTCCCCACAGCAAAATCTTACCCTAATTTTAAATTAACTGAGCACTGGGGAAAATGGTTGTACATCTGAGGCACTCCTGACCACAGCAAGATTACTTCTAGAAGGTGCTAAAGGCCCTTTCTGCTCAAAGAACTGCTGAAAGCCATCATACCCATAAATTAAAATGATTTCTACCTTAAATAATGACGAAGGGAATTAGTATTCCAGGAAAGTAACTTGGAGCCTAGTTTAAGAGCAGCTGATGAAGTAGAACTTGAAGAATACAAATTCAGCACAGGATGGTAGTGCAGCTTTCTAATATTTATATGACTGCTTCATAATAGCTGGAATACTTGCCCATGTCCTTGCTCTGAGAATCTCTGCCAAATGTACTGTGCAGGTGCTGAATCCATGATGGTAGTGACCCTCCAAGGAACTCGGCTTGGAAAAGACAGGTCAGCAGAAAGCCATTCCAGAGCACAGAAACCACATAAAAGTGAGTAAACCACCTGTGGGAACAAAGAGAGTCTTCATTAATGTTCTCATCATTCCTTAGTTGGAAATGTAGCTGCAGGACATGCTTGCCTAATGGTGAGTACACTCCCTTTTGGTCCCCACATCAATGAGTAGAGAACTCAGAACTCCAGTGGTACCAAGCAGTACCTTCTTCCCCCAGTGAAATGCTTTCTGAAATAACCTCCAACTTAGCTTACCTTACTAACCATAGCTGCACTAAAGAGCAGAAAGTGTAAACTGCACATGCAAAAGTATTCCTCAATGCTTACGAATAATCATGATGTGCACAACTTTATAATTTACAGCACTAAAAGAACACCCAAATTAATTTTCTCAGCATTTCTGTGCTGTTGCACCTAGCAGCACTCTTGCTTTCCTCAGTTCTAGTGGATACATTATATGACTTGCTAAAGTTCATAAATGACAAATTCAGATGGTAAGAGGCCCCCAGAAGCAATTACTCTGCTGTACACTAAAATATCTTGTCCCTCTGCAAATTCAAGGTCTGTAACAATCATACAGCAAAAAGGAGAGACCATCACTACCACTGGGTGATTATAAGGCAAGACAACATGCTTCTCCAAGGAAAAAAAAAAGAATCCCCAACCCCATAAGGCACTTACAGAAGTGCATTATGCATTACTGAAACATGAGACTTGATGGTCAAGACAGGTAACTGAATGTAGTTAAACAGCCTATGATATCCAGCTCAAACCAGGTGATCCAGTATTTCCTTTTGTTTATAAAACTAAAGTATTTCAGCTATGAATAAAAATGGGGACCTCTGGAAACACCCGCAAAGAGACAAATACATACAGTGGGTAGACACTGACGGCCTTCTCTTGGCAATGTAACTACTGGTACAAAACCAGGATATAACTGTAAAGTCAGACAAGACTATATTTGTCTGGATCACTTAAACTTTTATTTTGTGGCAGTGTAGGGGTAAAAGACAACACAGTTGGTTAGTGAAACCAAGTAAAGTGACTGCCTCCCAGAGCAGCTCAGGTATCTCTCAACAGTAATTCAGAGGCCAAGTCAGAACCACAGAGGCAGTAAGCATCCCTGCATGCTCCAGAGCACCCTGTGCATTAATGGCTGGTGGCCCTTTCACATCATCGCTTCTCCTCCTCAGTTCCTTCTCTTACCAAGCAAACAAAGACAGCAATGTTTGCTGTGCTGATTTGCAACAGCAGAAGTTAAATGTAGCGCCTCTCCCCCATTTTCTGCTTAGACTACAAATAGAACTTGTATATTGATAGAAACTCATCACCACCTCCATGTTTCAAGTTCTTTCCCTGCTGTCCTGTTACTCAGTACTGTCTCATCACTCACCAGAGAACCTTCTCCACACACATTGCTTTTTGCTGCCAGCACAAAGACAAGCCCTGACAGGTTAGCAGATACATGCCCTGTGAGCTTTCAGCCATCCCAGCAACGCTGGGGATGTATCTGACTTACAGAGCAACCCAGCACTTCAGTAGGTACATGTGTCATCCCTCAAGGACAGGAATGTTCAGTATTTGGCAGACCAGCCCAAAATGCATCATAACATTTTACAAGATGGAACTGCAAAGTTAAAAACAAGCCCAGGCTAGTGAAAATACAATGCTTGTTTGGTAACAAGACACAGATGAATGGAAATAGAAAATGCCTCAATTGCTCCCTTCAGGATCCTCTCTTCTTTCAACTAGCAGGGTTACAGGTTCACCACTCAAGTAACAGAGTCACTTTGTAGATGTTGAGAGCTCAAGACCAATTCCCTGAAAAGGTCACTTTCTTCAGACACCATCTTCCCTAAGTGGTGGGAAACTTCCGTGAAGAAAGGTCAACTTGAATAAGAACCTACCTCAAGAATGTGGCACTTGGTAACACGCTGCAATTAAAGACAAAGCTTTTATGAACACTTATTTTTACTAAGGTTACCGCAGACCTTAAACACATCCCTGGGAATCTTCTGCAACCAGAAGCTCAATAACCAAGATACTACGTTATAATCTTTGCATGAATAATACACTGTGTCACAAAACTTTTTTAACATTTGGTTTAGAAGCTATGTATGCAAAATATGTCGGTGATAACCAAATTGTTACATTAGAGGCGATGGGATCTTTGGGTTAAGCAGCTTCCCAGTCCTGTCCTGCTGGCCTTGCAAGATCCTGTCACATTCACGTCAAAGGCTAGCCCTAGTCATGAATCTCAGCTGATCCCAAACTATGAGATCTCAGTAACACACAGAAAGCTGTACAGTTTGTTCTTTTTTATCCTATCAAATCTCTACTAAGAGATGTATTTGGGCAATGCAGTTCTTTTGCTTTATTCACGTGACTGTTCACGCGGGGCCCAGACAGTCATGTTAACATGCTGTCACCAGTATCCGATGTTGTATTTTAAAAAGAAACCTTGAACGAAGAAGACAACACCCGAGAACCAGTTTGAGACAGTAATCCCGCAGTATATTTGCACAGCCACAGTTTCACTCGGGAGCCCGTATCCCCGGGTCCCTGACAGGACTCCTGCAGGCAGGTTTGTTTTGCGTGGGACGGGGATTCAAGGGATCAGGCGCTTGTTCCGATGTGGGCACCCGGTGTGGGCACAGGCTCCGCTGTCCCCGGTTCCCCATCTGTAAAATCGGAATAAAACTTCCACAAAAACATTGAGCCCAGCTCCGTAAAGATACGCACTGCTATTTATTTTCTACATCTTCAGCAGAATTAGTTAAAATGCATCTCTAGTTACTCCCATGCTGCCGTGCCCTCAGCCGGGCGGCACTCCCGCGACAGCAATG